ACAAGCCTGAAGGAGATCTGCTGTGTGGTGGAGTTGCTAATGCTAACAGTTAGCTTCTACTAGCTAAGACGCTCTCTGCTTTCTGCTGGATGTTAAACCTAAAACAGTCTTTGCTGTCGCGAGCTATGATGGGTGAGTCCATGAATGTTTTTTTTTAACCGTGTCCTGTCTGGCTGTGAAGCAAACAGAATTGATGTCTGAATGCTGGTAACAAGCCTTGCAGATTTATTCTCAGGTGGAGCATCAAAGCGTCTGCTTTAAATGTCACGCCTGATACTTCAAATTTTATTGTTATTGTTCTTGAATGCTTTGTAATTCCGACCAGACACGGAGGCAGAGGTGAAAGAGAAAGGAAAATACAAATGGTGGGAGGGGGGGGGGGGGGGGGGGGGGGGTCCACAAAAATAAACAATAATGAACAAGAGTCTGCTTCTAAACCTGCAGAAAGAGAAGAGCAGAAAAAAACTGGGACACACAACAATACATCAGGAGCAAGCTATCACTGCGTCAACGTGATGATGAAATATAAAATCAACATTGTTTAACTGAACAATCACATGATAATAAATCATAGTGCATTTAGTAGCAACGACAGCCTTAAGACATGTGTTGAACGTGCCCAAGCCCATACTTTTGAGAGCACCATGTGAGCACCTGTGTGTGTTCACGTGCTTGTTTATGTAAGGTTTCTCTATAAAACCGTTCAATAGAGAGTGTGAGGGACCACAGATCTGCACCCCAAAGATGTGTAAGAGACGGGGGTAGCTCCAAGTCCCAGAGATCCAGGCGCTGCCCCAGAACACAGGAACCCCAAGGGGACTGCAACCAGAAAGGCCCCCCGCCCCCTTCGAGAGGCGCAGAGGATCGCCCCGGGGGGCCACAAACCAGCAGCCGGCAGAGTCCCGGGAGATATCAGCGGCAAGCCCACAGGCCCGCCCGTAGCCTCCCACCCCCTAGCCGGCTGAGCCCGGGACCCAGCGACCTGGGACCCAGGGGTGACCACCCCCGCCGGGGACCCAGCAGAGCCCAGGGACCCAGACCCCACCAGGCAGCCACCGGGATTGATCAAGCAGATGCCAAATCTTAAACCCCCTGACCCGGGAGCCATGAACACTCAGGCAGACCAAGGCACCACACCCCTCACCAGGTGTGGCAGGGGGAGGGGAGACGAAGATCTATATCATCAAAGGAGGTCCCAGGAGAGGGGATGAGTCAAAGGCCCCACCTGACATATACAGTCATACACAAACACAGTCACATACTCCCTCCCTCATGCTCACACATGCACATACAACCAAAGACTTACAAAAATGCACGCCGGACACCCACTCATGCTCCCCATACACACCCTATTAACTCTGGTCTCAGTACTGCTGCACACTGGGTACAACTATCACCGGTTACCAGAGTTTGACCCTTTCTGCTGGGGTACTGATGAGCAGGCTCCCCCGCCCAATGCTGAGCACAGCAACCCACCACCCCAGACCCCAACCAGACGGCCAGATCCCCCTCCTAGTCTCCAGCCCCAGGAAGCCAAGCAACAACAGAGGTGTGCTAAGACCCCCTCCACCTGCTCCATTATAGTGTCGTGTGTTGATGAGGTGTATTCCATGGCTGTGGTGAGCGGGCAGTGCAGGCATTGTCTGGCCTATGCCAGCGGATGCCACCGCCCCACCCCACTTGCACCCACAGCCCTCGGTGTCTAAGTGCAGTTGAAAATTGGAAGTGGGCACCGGCACTCGGGATGAGTCCATGAATGTTAAAAGACGGTGGCGTAGATCTTTGCAGCTTTTCCAAACAGAGCATTGTTCTGTCTGTTTTCTATCAGAACCTAATGCAGGAAATAGGGGCAGAAGACTATTTTCACATTCAGCCAGTATGCTCTGATCGTTTTCAAGAATAAAAAGTTAAACATGGTTTCATCGTAAATCTGATCTCTAATAAACACAACTTTTTGGCCTGAATGGAAAAATACTGCCTTAAAGAAAATCACAAATGTTTCAGACTTTATCCTTTAAAGTGACAGTGTGTATTTTTGCTGGCAATGGGGGGCAGTAGATACCTAAATTGTTGCAAGCAAGCTGTATTTTTGTTGGAGTAAGACCTTACCAATGGACCCGGGTAGTCCAAACTTCAGCAAAATGACAAGCACATCAGACTCCCTTTCATCACTGGTAACAAGTGAAGAGGTAAATGTGTAAAACAACTATGTTTGTAAACGGAGACATTTTATAATCGTTTGTTACAAATGAGTAAATGCATTTTGTCCTCAAGGGCTCCCATAGTAGGAAACATGGTGTCTATTATGGTGTCACCCAGAGACTTAGACCCGCTCCCATGTATTTTAGACCTGATTTTTATGGTTATATGTTTCGAAGTCACCAATATTTTTCAACAACTGGGCATCACTTAATTCATTTTCAACAACATTTTGATCGATATTTACAGGGATTAACAGTAAAAACTACACATTGTTACTTTAATAAAAAAAATCCTTCTAAGGGTCACATTTTCATATTAATTAGCTGTACTCTGTCTTAAGACAGTACTAGTATTACTTCTGTTTTGCAGCACTGATTATCACTCTCTGATGCACAGTTGGGGCAGTTTCCGTGCTTAACATGATATTTTACTGCACAGAGAAGGGCAGCAGTTTTACTTAATTTACTTAGTTATAATTGGAAAAATCTGAAAACGTCATCTCAATTGTGGTTTTCCCACAGATTTCTGGTATTTATAACCATTTATTGATACATGGTATTGATGCAGTCATGCTTCTTTAATAGATATTTTGTATGTTTTATTTTTGTCATTGCATGCTTTGATTAAACTCTTTGTTTTAGAATAAATCTTACAATTTACTGCCTAATAAATCCCACTTAAACTGGAATTCTGTGACAAAAATGCTTTAGAGTGACACTGCTTTGTGATACAAACAACAACAACAATAAATAAGCTACTAATCAGTTAGTATTGGATCAATTCATTTCAATTTTGTCACCATGTGTCCCCTTTGATCTCCTGGCAGCACCAGCAGTGCCAGCATTGTAAACACTGCCAAATGTGGTCACAGAAGCCAGGTGTTGGATCAAATTTTGGCAAAGAATAAATGGGGTATGGAACTAAAATACCCAAATGTTGGACTAGGGCCTGAATTTTTCTAATCAGGGAGCGGTGAAAGAGCCAGATTTTGATTAGCCTTTTTCTAGTGATCATGACTGGTTCATTTTATTTATTTAAAGGTCTGCTGCTGAAAACAGGTGGACACTATGATGTTTTATTGTTTTAAAGGTGTTAGGAAAGCATTAAATTGATGGTAAATTAGACACAAATGTGTAGTATTTTTTTTTTACAGTGCAAACCTCAGCAAACAGGATTTGAACTGGGCACTCCTGCATTTTACACCCCTCTCATCCTACAAGAGTTCTCTAGTGGTTTCAGAGGCTGATTTTCTAGTCGTGTCCAATCGTGTGTTGGGAGCGAGGGGGTTTAAAGGTCAGGTGAACACTTCTCACTCAACTTTGTTTTTTATGAACCATTCCTAAGCATTTTTTCCAGGTCCTCTGATGAGCCGTAGGAGAGTGATGTTTACCTGTACACTGGTGTTTAGCTAGATAGCACATGATTTAAATGTGAGAACATGGCAATGCAGGGATTACTCACTTTACCTGAAAGTGATCGTAATGTTATGGATTATGAGTGTAGTTCCAAAAAAGAGACTTCTCTGAAAAAAATTCCAATAAAAACCAATATTATTTGTTTAAAAATAACATTTTAAGGTGAATTTAATGTTTGTCCACAAACATCTGGTCTCACCCGTTAACCTCTGTTTACCTTCCAGCTCCTTTAATCACAGCTTGTTATTATTGTTATTATTTTCAGAGTTCCTGTTTCCCGTTTGCCACCTATGGGCTTGTTGCTTTTCGAGTTATTTGACTTCCTCACTTCATCGGCACTCTTGGTCTTTTCACTCCAGTTTGAATTCATTAAAGTTTATGTTTCCTGCTCATCTGCTACCTGCTGCTCATCAACTGGCTCCACACTCATTGACAAAATAGACTTCCAGCCATTGTGATAATTAGATAATTGAGTTAAACGATTATTGCTCTCTCATTTTGCCATACGACAAGCATTATTTAGCAATTTGCCTCAGAGCATCTTTACCCTCATTAGAATGATTTGTCGTTTTGTTCAGGTGCAACAAATTAAGTTTGGAATCCATATTTTAAGAGTTAACAAAGATCAAACGGAGGTTAAAATATAACAGATGAAAACTGAGGAAAGTTGGTCTGGAATGAATGGAGATGAGATGAATGCACGACTTATTATTTAAAAAAGAGAGAAAGAATGAAGCTCAAATGTATTTTGCCCAGGGCTTCTCTTGGGGGACTATGAACATAGAATGAGTGAAACTGTGCCTCCTTCTCTAGATCTCATCTTATTCCCTCTTGTGCTCAGTGCAGCCTGGGGAAATACACAAATACACATTGTGATGGTAAGATGTCTACATGTCGGTTCCCCCACCCCATCACTGAAATGCCTACAGAACAGCTTTCCTAAACCAACTTGTTCAGGGTGGTAAGGGGCTGGTGCTTTTGGTTCATCCAACTGAACTAAAAAGCATGATTTTGGAAAGCAGGAGGAAACTGAACAACTTCGAGAAATCCAACACAGAAAGACATAATTTGGGAGTTAAACCCACAACCTTTTTGTTGTGAAGTTGTGTGCCAACTAACAGCTCCATCTTGTAGCTCTAGAACTGCAGAGTGAAGGAAAATGTATTAAACTGCAGCTGGATAAAACAAGCCTTACTGAACAACTAGTGGGAAAACTCAATTTAATAATCTGTTTGAATCCCAGTTCTTTTACACTTTGTTGTCTATCTGGATACAAAACACCTACCTTCAAATGAAAGCTTGCAAGCCTTGAACTTAGTGGCTTTATGAACCTTTTCCACTTCAGGATATCAAATTATTTCCCATTCATTCCTCTCCACTCACCTCTTGATTTAACAAGGCAGTGGCCAGTTTTTGGACCTCTGGAGTTAACAGCTGGGTGCCTCTGATGACTTTGCTCAAAGCAGCCAGAGACTGGTGGATGCTCTATGGAAACATGTACAGTTTAAACAGAACTAATGTTGTGTAAAACAAAACAAAAAACAACAACAAAGGGGCATTGCTTCAAACGGTTTCATTGTACTGCAACAATTTAATAGAAAGTGTTAAACTTTCATATCATTGTCTTTCGTTGTGCCCTATGATGATGAAAATACTGACAATATTTGAAATGGTTATGAGCAAACTTTCCTGTGCTTGATTCAGGACCAAACACCTCCTCCGCTCGCAGTTAGTCAGACAGTGGCCGGCTCCAGACTGATTAGTTTTTATCTGTCTAGTCCCGCCTGCTCCAGTTGCCAATTAGTTATTTTTTCTGTTCTCCAATCTTCCCCATTTTCTGATAGGAATTTTTTTACTGTCAATTTTTGTTGTTTTATATTCATCAATGAAAATTTGGATTAATATTTGTCATAATTTAGTCTGTTTAGTTTTTCTTTTTTTTTCATCTTCGTTTGCAACATTTCATTTGTTGTGAAAAAAAAATTAAAATATTTAGTCAAATCAACACTGGTGGTCTGCAGTTTCATTGTTGACATTTTGAGAACCTTCCAGAATGAGTCGTTTCAGGGCTCCAACACTTTAAAAAAACAAGCAGTTGCTGGCCACGCCCACCCATCCCTCACTCAAGGTTGGTTTATGCTTGACGCGTCTGCGAGGTTCGCACGAATCCGCGCAGCGAAATTGCGTCATTTTAAGAACCACGCCCCTCCACCGCACCTCCGCACGGCCCAAAATTTCCGCACCACGCACCTAGGAAATTTTCTAACCACACGGACGGTCAGACGCAGAAAAACATGGCAGACCGGCAAGAACTAGTATGGCAGAGACAAAATACAGACATTTGTATGATTCAGCTCTCAAAGATCACCGTGATCAACGTTGTTAATAATTCTTGGAGAGAAATATCTCGAACTGTCGGAAAAGATGAGGACGCTGTTAAAAAATGCTGGAATGCCATGTTGTAAACAACAGTAATTTTCACTTCTACTATGGTGTAGTGTTGGATGCATGCTGTAGAGCTCCATGCTGCCCTGTTCAGTTTGGGAGAATATTGGCTCACCGCAGAGACAAGCCGCATGAACCATAACGCTGCAAGTTGTGAAGCGTGTTCCATCCACGAGCCGCATCACCAAGCGGAAAGTGAATGCATCAAGCATAAACCAAGCTTCAGGCTGCTACAAGCTGAGAAGTTCTGATAACTGGAGGGGCTTTTACGTGAGAGGTGGTTCTGTTTTTATTTCACTGTTTGTGACATCACAATTGAAGACTTTTTGAAATGACTTGTTCTTGGAGCCTAACTCCTAAAACCAAACACTGACAGAAAACAGATGGACGGGTTGTTTTCACATTCGGAGTGTTTAGAGGCAGTAGAGACCCACATGGCAGCACAAAAGGATGCAGAAGGTGAGTTTTGTGTAATATGTTCCCTTTAAATGCTTTGGTGCCTGTTCTATTTGATGAATAGTAGCAACAGATTATAACCCACTCAGGAGGTATGAGAAACCATTTTACCACAGAGACATACCTGGACCAAGTGGATGGCATTGAACTGCTCCAAAACGATAAATGACAAGACCGGTGAACTTTGACTTTCTGTGGGCGGATCTACCTTCTGATGGACTAAAGCAGAACCCTGACAAAAACAGATACAAGAACACACATTATATATAAATTAAATCCACAATGAATGATTTCCATCCTTGAAAATAGGCCTAACAGATTACTAACGTCCAGTAGATGTAACACAGCATTCACATGGGTGTACAGCAGATACAGAATAACGCAGGGGTATTCAATTCCAGGCCTGGAGGGCTAGTATCCAGCACGTTTTAGTTTTAACCCTGTTTCAACACACCTGATTTCAATCAGCAGGTAATTAATAGGCTTCTGCAGAGCCTGATGAGCTGCTGCACAGTGTGTGTGTGTGTGTGTGTGTGTGTGTGTGGGGGGGGGGGGGGGGGGGGGTAATTACTTGTCTGCATACCCCTCCGACAGCAGGTAGTTGCGCCCCTGAGTGACCATGTGTATTTTACCTGGCGATAGGGGGCAGCACATACTTAATCATTGCAAGCAAGCAATATTTTTGTGTTCAAGTAAAACGTCATCAACGGATGGTCATTAGGGTCAAAAATCCCTGACAGCACAATTTTTGAACAAGTACTTAGTCAGATCGTTCAAACTCCAGCAAAATGACAAGTACATCAGACTCCCTTTCATCACTGGAAACGAGCCAAGAGGTAAATGTGTAAAACAACGTTTATGAATGGCGAAAATTTTGTAACCGCTTGTTACAAATCAGTAAATGCATTTTGTCCTCACGTAGAAGGAAACATCACATCTAACATGGCGGCGCCCAGAGACTTAGACCCACTTCCATGTATTTTAGACCCGACTTTTATGGTTCGATGTCAATATTTGTAAACAATTGGACATTATTTCATTAATTTTCAATAACATTTCGGTGGATATTTCCAGAGGTTAATGGTAAAATCTACACACTTTCACTTTAAACTGTCTGTGAAATAAAAGGGGGAAAAAACACAAGTGAGAGATGCACACTTCTTCTGATGGTCAAACACCACAGGTCAGCTGGTGGCAAAAAAACAGTTAACTGAAAGCAGCCGGTGGTAGATTGAGACCTAATGGAGGTTTGTTATGAGACAGCAGCAATAAGTAACACAGTCGATCATTCTCCTTCCAGTGAGCATAAAACAACTCAGGCTGCAGTGAAAAGGGAGAGGAGGACAAGCTGGTAGGCAGAAGAAGGCAAAGAGGAGAAAGTGAGCATGTGTGTTTTACAGTATGAAAGAAGCAGACCAGGAGGACGGCAGTATGCTAGCTAAATTATTGAATGTGTAGGTACATGTTCTTTTGATTTAAAAAAAGGTGCCAGTGTCTAAGCAACCACACACAGCAGTGATAACGAACTGTACAAACCAGCGGCTATTGCACAGTGGTAGCCACTAATTTACAATTATCTCTGGAGACTACCAGCTGTTGCTAAACTTCTGTAAAATGCTAAAATGTTAGTAACTTTAAAAGAAAGTTCAAACTGGTCGAACAACATTTTCTTTCTTAAAAAGTTCAAATGAAAGCTGTTTTTGGTTTGGGAAAGAAGACTTTTTAAATTAAAAACCAAACAACTGACCTGGTTGAGTTTCTTCCACAAGTTGAGGATGGGTGAAAGGCTGTTAGACCACAGCTCCCTGTCAAATTTAGAGCCTGCTGCTGCTGAACGGCTGAGGATACGCAGCTGGGAAATGACCTGTGAGTAATCCCAAACACAAACCAATAAACCAGATGAGCACACAGAAACCTTTTTTTGGGTCTGTCTTTTACAAGGCGACAACATTTAAAAATACTGGTTTAACACATGCACACAACTACATCAAATCAAGACGTCCATAAAAATCACTCATGAATCTAAAGCACATGTCTGGATGCTACACTCAGAAAATTCTGTTCTGTTCCAGGAATGATGCAAGTGAAAGAGGAAGACCCTAAAACTCATCATCTGATGTTTACACACATTATAGAGCTTGGGGCTCAGCATTCCAGACACTGCTTGTATCAGTGTGTGTGTGTGTGTGTGTGTGTGTGTGTGTGTGTGTGTGTGTGTGTGTGTGTGTGTGTGTGTGTGTGTGTGTGTGATGTTTTGTACATTTATGTGCGCTTCTGTGTGATCAGGGAGACAAAGCATCTGAGAAGTTGCTTTACATTTAGTCCAGAAGAAACTCCGCCTCATCACAGTTCAGTAGGGCAATTGTGTGTGTGTGTGTGTGTGTGTGTGTGTGTGTGTGTTGTGTGTGTGTGTGTGTGTGTGTGTGTCTGTAAGCATGTGTTACTATGTAAGGTGTGCAGAAGAATGGCAGACAGAATGGGTTTTTGAGAAAGATTAGAGTTTAAATGCAAATAAGCCTCCAGGTTCTGTCAAATTCAAGTATAAATAAAAGAATAATGTATAAAGTAGGTGCAAAACGTGCACCAAAAGAAGCGTGGGTCCTCAAGACGTAGTGATTTGTAGGGATTGGAGTAAAAGGTTGCAAGAGTACATTTATCTGAAATGTTCCTTATAGGATTTAGACTCAGATTGACTCAAATGGTCTGATTACCAGCAGACTCTTCGGTGAACACAAACCTGTTACAAATGTACCACACATGCTGCTACCAATCCAAACGCTAATGCATTTTTAAAGAAAGAACTATTTTCTGGTAAGTGTAACATGCCTATGATTTAGGACATATATAAAAATGGAGACTTGATTATTTTTTACTTTATAAAAATGAATTTCATCTATATTTGAAGCTGCATTTTAAATTTTGAAGCGATTGACAAAAATGACTAATGATCAATGACCTGCACATAAGTCAGAGGACTCCAAAGTGCTATACAATACAGTGTATTATTCATCCATTCACACACACAGTCACACACTGATGATGATGAACTACTATGTAGCCACAGCTGCCCTGGGGTGCACTGACAGAGGCGAGACTGCCGAGCACAGGCGCTGCCGGTCTCCTGACTACCGCAGGCAAGGGAGTTAAGTGTCTTGCCCAAGGACACAACTTCAAAATTCTCTGGTAGAGCTGGGATTGAACGTGCAATCTTACGATTACCTACTGAGCTACTGCTGCCCCAAAAATCACAAATGCATCAGACATTATCCATCCACCCATCCATCCAGCGAATTTCGGCCACTTATCTGGGGTCAGGTCGTGGGGGCAGCAGCCTAAGCAGGGAGGCCTAGACTTCTGTCTCCCCAGCCACTTGGGCCAGTTCCTTTGGGGGAATCCCAAGATGCTCCCTGGCCAGCCAAGAGACATAGTCCCTCCAGCGTGTCCTGGGTCTTCCTTTAGGTCCTTTCCCGGTTGGATGTGCTCGGAAAACCTCACCAGGGAGGCATCCTAACAAGATGCCTGAGCCACCTCAACTGGCTCCTCTCGATGTGGAGGAGAAGCGGATCTACTCCGAGTCCCTCCCAGACGAACAAGCTTCTCTGTCTCAGATCACTACAATACCTGCATCACTGCAGATGCAGATGTGTGTTGTGTGTGTGTGTGTGTGTGTGTGTGTGTGTGTGTGTGTGTGTGTGTGTGTGTGTGTGTGTGTGTGTGTGTGTGTGTGTGTGTGTGTGTGTGCGTGCCTTATGTATTTGGGGGAAAAAGAGACAAAGTGGGAGCACAAAGGTGGCAGAGACAGGTGACAGCAGGAGAGGACAACGGTGACATATGTGTGAGAAAGCTGGAGAAAAAGAGCCTGTAACACACACACACACACACACACACACACACACACACACACACACACACACACACACACACACACACACACGTCACCCCTGTGGGACTTGCATGAATTGAACTGGGTTGGTGGATCAGCAGACCACAGTGACAGTATGAATGGGCTTTACTGTAGAAGCACCCACACAGGAACTGGGCACTCACAAGCTACACTGGTTCTGACCAGTTTAAACATGTTACTGAAAATATAATAAAAACATTAAGCGATCATGCTATATCAGCCCTGCCAGAGCATTTCATTTGATTTGAAGATTCTATAAATAGGCCTATGAAGCTGTGTTGAACGTGTGTGTTGTCCTGAACATGAACTCTACACAAACATGATGCAGTAAATGAAATTATATATAATGTTAACTACAATTTTAAAAAAATACAAGTGAAGGTCTTGATTATAAACTGCCTTCAATAATATTTGACCTTCCTGCAGACAGTTATCTCCAACATTGCTATTACATTACTGCTGGTTTTAACATCTATTCCACTTGAAGAAAGATAAAAATCTAAATGAATTTGCAGCTAAAGTTTTAAATATAGTTGCACATTAAAGCTCTCATTTAGGGTTAGTGATCTCTGCTGTGATCTCTAGTTGGAATACAGGCCTAGTGAGTCCTCCTCTGCAGAAAAAAGGTCTCGCGCTCCTGTCCACAGCAGCGAAACACATCAGGCACAAATAAAAGACAGAAAACATAAAAGGAAATGAGCCGACATGGACGATCGCATGTTAAATATTTTTTTGAGGTGGCGACACCTAATTTGATAATGTTACTGTGGCCGTGCTCAGGACACAGATGCCTGGAGCGCATCAACGATCAGAGCTTTGCATGTGCAAGCTGGTTAAGGTTAGGATGGGGGTGAGGTAAAATTGCAAGAGGATAAAGGTCACAATTCGGTCAAATGTCCGTTTACCGCGGGCATCAGATACCGACGTCCCCTCCCGACGCGCAGGGGCTCGTCACCTGCTGTCTTTTCCGAGGACTGCATCTTGTCGGTCATTATCACGTGACAGCGACTAGTCGATGAAAGGCATAAAAAGTCACTACAGAGCAGTGAAGTCGACTAGTTGAAACAACCCCTACTAGCTGAGACATTCTTCTACGAGCCAAGATGAGCAAGTCCATAAATGCTAATTTCAGTGAGAAATTAATTTGTGCGGCTTTTCTGACTTGAGTGTTTCCTGCTAGGAGACAAGTTCAGCCTGCATATTAAAGTCAGAGTGACTGACCGTATTTCAAAAGGAAGAAGTTAAAAATGGGTTCTCAGTGAACTTGCTCTTTACATTTCAAGCTGGTTAAGAAGAAGAAAATATCATTTCTATAGCGCCTCTCAAGATAAAAATCACGAGGCGCTTCACAAAAACAAAAAATGTAAAAATATAAAAAGGAATTTAGAAAATGGTTAAAATATATTTAAAAAAAATAGACAATTGTGATTAAAAATAATTTAAGAAAGAGAGAGTGAATAGGAAAGAGGGAAATCAGTGGATCCTGAGGAAGGTAGAATAGGTGGGGAGAGCAGAATAAAGAGAGAGTGGTGAAGAAGGTCATACAAAAGCCAACTTGAACAAGTGAGTCTTCAGCTGCTTTTTGAAGGAGTTCACTGAGTCCACTGATCTCAGGCTCAGGGGGAGAGAGGTCCAGAGTCTGGGGGCCACAGCAGCAGATGATCTGTCACCTTTGGTCTTTAGCCTGGTGCGCTGCACAACCAGTAGGCTTTGGTCACTGGACCTCAGGGACCTGCTGGGGGTGTAGGGACTAAGAAGATCACCAATGTAAGATGGTGCTTGTCCATGTAAGGCCCTATAGACCAGAACCAGGATCTTGAAATGAACCCTTAAGTTGACTGGCAGCCAGTGAAGTTGGAGGAGAAGCGGGGTGATGTGGGTGTATTTGGAGGACTTGGTCAGAAGCCGAGCACAGGCATTCTGAACCATCTGTAGACGGTTCAGGGAGGTTCTGCTCAGACACGTGAAAAGAGAGTTACAGTAGTCTAAGTGTGAGGAGATGAAGGTGTGGATAACTGTCTCAAGTTCAGAGCGGGACAGAATGGGACTCAGCTTAGCAATGTTCCTGAGATGGAAGAAGGAAGAGCGAACAAGAGAACTGACATGAGAATCCAGGGTGAGAGCTGGGTCAAAGGTCACGCCAAGATTCCTGACAGAAGGTTTGGTGTGAGAACCAAGCTGACCAAGAGAGTCTCTGACTTTGGGAACCAGCTTGTCTGGGGCACAGATGAGGATCTCAGTCTTGTCTTCATTCAGCTGTAGAAAGCTCCCACCATCCAGGTTTTGATAGAATCTAAGCAGGTGTGTAACAGCTGCAGCTTAGACATCTCATGGGGCTTAAAGGAGATGTACAGTTGGATGTCATCTGCATAAAGATGGTAGGAGATTCCTTTGAAGGAGCTCAGGATGTGCTGAAGAGGGAGCAGATAGAGGAGGAAGAGCAGAGGTCCCAGCACAGAACCTTGTGGGACACCATGGGTAAGAGAGGTAGTGGAGGACCTAAACTTGGAGATGGCCACAGAAAAGGAGCGCTCAGAGAGATAAGAGGAGAACCACTGCAGAGCCGTTCCGGATAGGCCTACTCAGTCTCTCAGCCTCTCCAGTAGCAGGTGATGGTCAACAGTGTCAAAGGCTGCAGTCAGGTCCAGCAGGACCAGAACAGAACAGTCCCCTGCATCACTGTGAGTCAGAAGGTCATTAGAGACCCTAAGAAGAGCTGTTTCAGTAGAATGAGCTCTACGAAAACCTGACTGTAAGCACAGTGTAGGTTAGAAAAATAATTGCTTTCAGAGTCAACAATATGAGTAGATAGCCGGACATCATTTCATACGGAACCAAAAATTTGAATCAGCAAAAATCAGGTCTAAATAATAATCTCTTGCTAAATGACACGTTGCATGCTTTTGACGTCAGAGGTGTTACAGAGGATATGTTTGGACTGCATGGTCCAGAGCAGGGATTCCCAAAGTGTGGTGCGCGAGCTGCCGCTAAGGGGTGCGCAAGGTAAAAAGTGTAATGGCTGCGGAGCTCAGAGAAGTCTGTCAAAAGTCACCATTAGCGTAGCCAGAAACTCATTTGTGGGTGGGCCTAAGAACATGTAAGTGGGCCCAATAAATGTAATTGAAAACACGTAAATTTTGCTTGTGTGTGTGTGTGTGTTTGTGCGTGCGTGCGTGTGTGTGTGTGCGTGCGTGCGTGCGTGCGTGCGTGCGTGTGTGTGTGTGTGTGTGTGTGTGTGTGTGTGTGTGCGTGAGCACCTGGGAGCTGATGATTCTCTGGGAGGACCTTTCTATGTTGGCAGGCAGACCGAAGAATGCCGGTCTGTCATCCTCTGGGAGGTTTTCTATGACACTGCGGTAGTCCTGGGAGGAAGGACAGAAACTAATAGATCACATCTTACACATCAAACTCTAAAGAGTGAGAAAGTGAAATAATGCAGCAGTTTTGTATCCTATCAAGATACCTTAGTGACTTTCCAAGAAACTAACTTCAGTTTCTAAGAAACTAATCATTATATGCTTTAACACTATAGTGGCATGAATGAATCTTAATCCATCACTCACAAAAATATTAATCCCACTGTGTCATCCTAACAACATACCAATATGGAGCAGGAGGTTGGCAGACTAATCTGTGAGGGGAAAATGCGAACACCTCCCATACTCTTCCTCTGCCCAGCTGAGGATGAGAGCAGACGTGCAGAGAAGAACTGCTCCAGGTAGGAGCGCAGGATCCGGAGGTCGGAGGGGTTATCGATTCGCCCCCCATAGATGGCGTTTTCCAGCAGGCCGTGGACAAACTCCCACTGGAAAACTTTACCACCTTAGATAGAAATAAATGTAAATGTTAAAACAAAACCAATGTACGTGTGAGCACACTCAAAGGAAAATGAACACTCTGTAGTGATGCGTTCTTCCTGAACAATTTGCTCACTAGAACATATCTTTTGGTAAATGAAGTGAACTCTTCACTTGCCGGAACAATGCACATTCAGGGATTTATTCATTGATCACATTCCACAAAAATTCAGGATCTGAGTAACAATATCAGAATCAGACCCAGAGTAACCAAAAGGCAATGCTTGCACTGTAATTCCATTTTCTGTTGTTTTTATTTAATGTGAAATTTATTCAAATGTTAAAATTTAAACTTATTTTCTAAGAAAAACACTCATTCAGTAAATCAAATACTGAAACCGGAGCATTTTTTTACAGTTTTGAAAAAGAAGCTGGTTAGTGTAGAAAAGCTTGGTCCGTGACAAACCGAGCTTTGCATTTAATATCAGTGTTTATCAGGTAATACTTAATTAAGTGTTGGTCCTTCAATTGTTCAAAGTAATAGAACTGTTATCTGTTCATCCTACCTGCAAAAAGCCTGTCAATGATCTCAAAGCCAGCACGAAGGTCCGAGAGAGAAAACTCATAGAACTTCGTCCAACCCTGAAAATGAAAAATATCAATAATAAATATTTATTTGAGCAAGGTTTCTCAAAACTGACAAACCATTCCAAACATATATATATATATATATATATATATATATATATATATATATATATATATATATATATATATATATAGTACTAAGTTAAAATGACATATCTGGTTGCTTATTAAAGACTCTAACATTAACTTCTTATGTTTTTAACTACCTATAAAAAAGTGTGTTTAAAAACAAACAACTACCCTGACATTTTTAACCTTAAAGGTACAATATGTAAGAAGGAGGTAAGCATGACACCCTGTGGTCAAATTTGGTTATTACAGTCCATTTTTTTAAACAGAGTTACCATCTCACTGCCGTTCCGTGAGTTTCAGCTGGCTGAGAAGGAAATCTGTTTCAATGTAAGCTTCCTTTCAATATGATTTATTATTATTATATGTAACGTCCAGAAAGGGTCAATTTTCACTTATATATTGACCTACACAGTGACCGGTCATCTGCTGATATAATTCCATTTTCTAAGCAGATTTTAAATTCTATCTTCTACAAGCCAGAAGATTCTGCAGTGCTTGGCACACATGATAAACATACTGTCAACAAACTGTTCTTTTCAAGGCCTCGGCTTTCCCCCTTATTGCTTCTACAGGATTTCACACTCTGAATGAAAAGTGAACTTTTCCAACTCATAAGTCAAATAATCATTACATAATCATATGGTTGAATGAACCAAATGTTATAATAATAATAATAATAATACTAATAATACTACGACTAATAATAATAATAATGTTTGAATACTATGTGCCTAATTCAGTTAAGTGAAATGAATTTTAGTATTATCAGTGTGTAAATTTCAATAGCTGAAAAAAAAACATCAGACAACACTTTTGCACATGCATGAACACAGGAACACAGCCACACATCGAGTATCACAGCAATGATCGTCTCAGAGAAATCACAGAGGTGTTAAAGTGTGATTGAGTGCAAGGGCCATCTCAGGTTGTGACTATGTGTTTGTTGCACACCACTGCAATTCAATCAGCAGTTGTAATCTGCCCACTGTTCCTGTGGGTGGTGGAGGAAAACTATGTGGGCATGTTTAATAATGTTTTGAATGATTAAGTGCTCTGTTCTTGGTAAATGTTGTTGCTGATAAATATAGGAATGGAAGCTAAACTATCAAGCTAAGTTGTTCGGAGACGATCATTTTTACTTGATCTGTCGGCTGCTTTTGACACTATCGATCACGGCATTTTGTTGCCCCACCTAGAGTCATGCATTGGTCTCTGAGGTACTGTTCTCCAGTGGTTAAAATCCTACCTTCACAAGAGGTCATTTTCTGTTAATCTGGGTCCTTTTACCTCAAAAACAGCACCTCTGACATGTGGTGTGCCTCAGGGCTCCATTTTGGGTCCAGCACTTTTTTCTTTGTATATGCTCCCCTTAGGCTCTATTTTGAGAAGTATAAAATTATTTTTCACTGTTTCGCTGATGACCTTCAGATCTATTTGCCACTTAGTGATGCTAGGTCAATCGGCTCATTACTGGAGTGCTTAAAAAGCATCAAACAATGGATGTCCATTAATTTTCTTAACCCTCCCACTGTCTTTATGGGTGACCTCGCGAGGAAAGTTGGCCATCGAGCAGGATTGATGGTTTAACCCTTGAGGTCCATGTGGCAGGAGTGAGGTGGTGCTGACTCCTCACCCCTGCCACTTGGACCCAAGGGATAAACCATCAACCCTGCTCAATGGTCAACATTCCTCGCGGGGTCACACACCCATTAGGACAGTGGGAGGGTTAAACTCAACAACCAAAAAACTCAAATTTTACTATTTCGCAATCCTAATCTTTTAAATGACGTTGTTAGTCCTCTTGGTCCTTGTTCTGATTTTCTAAAACCCTGAGTTAAAAACCTTGGTGTGGTTTTAGATGGTTATTTTAATCTTCACAGACAGGTGAGTGCAGTGGTCCAACCAGGCTTTTATCACTTAAGGCAGTTAGCAAAGGGAAGCCATGCCTTCCTGCTAATGTCCTGGAACATGTCATCCATCTGTTTGTGTCCTGCTGATTGGACTACTGCAACTCCCTGTATTCTGGCATGGACCAGTCCTCCCTACACCGGCTTCAGCTGGTCCAAAATGCAGCGGCCTGCTTGCTGACTGGCACCAGCAAGCAGGTTCACATAACTCCGGTTCTGGCCTCTCTCCATTGGTTTCCTGTCTATTTCAAATTTTTTCTTTTTGTTTTTAAATCCCTTCATGGCCTGGCCCCATTTTAAATATCATCCCTTCATGGCCTGGCCCCATTTTACATCTCATCCCTTCATGGCCTGGCCCCATTTTACATCTCATCCCTTCATGGCCTGGCCCCATTTTACATCTCATCCCTTCATGGCCTGGCCCCATTTTACATCTCATCCCTTCATGGCCTGGCCCAATTTTACATCTCTGAGCTGATGACCGCTTACGTCCCTGCCAGAACCATGAGGTCCAGCTCTCCAGCTCTTTTAACAGTTCCAAAAGCCCGCGTTATGCTAGCCGGTGTTGAATAACAATTTTTTCAGTTTTAAATATCATATGATAATGTTAGTTAAATATATCTTTCTTATTTTACTTTTATGTTTTATTTTTTTACCCTTTTAGAGCTCCATTGAAAGGAAGGCAGAATGATATTCTGAACATGTATTTCATTGCTTCTATAATATCTGAACAAGCTCAATCAAACATTGTCCCAACAGCTTTATGAAGGGAGCTGTTGGTTGCAGTCCATGATTTTCCACTTGATGCCACTGACTGCCATGCACTGCTACTTTAACAAATTATTATGATTATGAGAAAAAAATATTATTTTCGCTAAAACTTAAATATACTTTATTCCAAATTTTCCATGACCAAGTATGACATCATTCAAGTTCTATTTCCTACATTTTCATTGTCTGCCAGCCCAGTAAACCAAATGATTAATTCAAATGTTTTGAACACAGGAAATAATTCTTTTTTCTGTGCATTAAAAACATCAGGATAAGACACATCCACACTGCTCTAAAACCTTATAAAATTAGTGCTTTTTTCCAAATTATTTGTAGTGTGTATTTGCCAGCAGGAACGTTCATTTCAAAGGCTAATATTCACATTTTCATACTAAAGGACACACACGCATGGACACACATTTACAAAAGCCTAAGGCAGAGCACCACATGCAGAGCAAATTTGCTCTTGTGGTCAGTAAGGACAAACAAACCCATCTCTCCAGGAAATCTGTGTGTAGATAAGCAAGCTTGGATTTCATTGAAGTATTTGCATACAGATGTGAACAAAATGATCCCAGACTGTCAATGGCATGTATAGGTGAGTCTTTCCTAACATATTAGGGTCTGATTGGTTAAACTATGAAGGAGACTGATTTCAGTCTGAGGTTAGCACTCAAATTTCTTCTGTAAACAGCCTGCTCTTGTATAGTGAATTATCAAGTCCAAGGACTCCTAATCTCTCTCTCTCTCTCTCTCTCACTCACACACACTCACTCACTCACTCACTCACTCACTCACTCACTCACTCACTCACTCACTCACACTCAGGGTTGGTTCATTTTAAGAACCACGCCCCTCCACCGCGTCTCCGCACGGCCCAAAATTTCCGCAACGTGCACCTAGGAAAATTTCTAACCACGCGGAAGGTCGGACGCGGAAAAACATGGCGGACCGGCAAGAACTAGTATGGCAGAGCTTCGTAAATACAGACATTTGTATGATTCAGCTCTCAGAGATCACCGTGATCAACATGTTGTTAATAATTCTTGGAGAGAAATAGCTCGCACTGTCGGAAAAGACGAGGACGCTGTTAAAAATGCTGAAATATCATGTTGTAAACAGTCATATTTACTTCTACTATGGTGTAGTGTTGGATGCATGCCGTAGAGCTCCATGCTGCCCCGTTCAGTTTGGGAGAATATTGGCTCACCGCAGAGACGAGCCGCATGAACTATAAACGCTGCGAGTTGTGAAGCGCGTTCCATCCGCGAGCCGCATCACCAAGTGGAAAGTAAATGCGCCAAGCATAAACCAAGCTTCGCACTCACACACAAACACACACACGCACACACACACACACACACACACACACACACACACACACACACTGCTGCCACAGTTGCCCTAGGGGGTACTGCCACAAGGAAAGCTATTACAGTAGTTCAGGTCATTTAAAGTATTTTACCTGTGGAATGTAGTTCCGTCTCTCCTGACAGACAGCGTGGAACCATGCAAGGCAGAAGAGAGACTGGGCTCTGACCACATCACCTCCTACAAACACACACACACACACACACACACACACACACACACACACACACGCACACAATGATCAGTAAGCCACAGCCAAAATAACACCACTGCCCGATCACTATCACACTTGGTTTTTTTTGTCTGTGTTCCATAAAATTCTTATTGTTTCTGGTATTATGAAATTATGTCAAAATACAGTTGATACATTCAGAAGGTCTATATCTTTGCAACTATTAACATTTTGAACAGTTTTCTAAATTATAGACTATAACCAGATACATCAATTAGCACAAAAGTGTCCCAAAATAATACAAAAGACACCTCGTCTTCACTTTGATGGAACAAAACAGTTTCCTGTAATGTGTGTGCCACACAATTTAGAGCAAGCAACAAAGACAGCTGAGTAACAGTAAAATTCATTGTGGAATTTTACAACATCAACCATGCATGTAAAAAAATAACAACCACTACCAACCCTGCTAAAAAAAACCAGCAAAGTTGGTTCTTCAAAAAAACAGAAAAAACCGCTGAAAAACGCTGGCAGCCAGGGGCTCTCTGATCAGGTAACAGCTGGCAGTGATTGAGTTAAGCTCATTGCAGCACTTTGGCTTCTACTTTGAAGCATTTAGGGTTTGTTGATGTGAGGAGAGAAAAGCGACAACCTTTGCTGATTTGCTCTGGAGTCCATGACTCATATGTTCTTAGCAGATTCTTCTTCAGTCCTGGAGGAGCCTGAAAACAGCAACAAAAAAAAAAATAAATAAATAAAAAGGGGAAATGATTAACTGCCACACTGCAGTTCAGAAGATAAACTCCCCGTATGATTAGGCGCATAGTTTAAATGGGACGCTTCACTAAATGCTTCATCTCTCTGCCAGCAATATGTTATGAGTATACAATGGCATTGCTTCATGTATTATCAGCTTTACAGAACATTTGGTGCTTCCATCTGGAGGTTTTGATAATACACACAAACAGGAACGTGTTCACTAAGTTTGCCAAGATCCTCTTGCATATGTTACCAACTTAGTAGACTGAATCAGTCACAGCCCAAATCTTGTAAATGGAGTCCCTTCAACGCCAGCTCTACTGACTAAATCAAAATTGTCTACATGTCTAATTTTCAGATTTATTCTAGTGATTTCGGTTTCCGACACCTGCGGTGACAACAGCTTTGCAGCTGAGAAAGAATATGTTACACTAACGAACTGCGTTGAAGATATGTGCAGATAAAATATTGTAAAGTATGTCAGTGAGATTGTTCCTGACAGCGTCTGGGTGTCTCTGAGGAGAAAAAAAAAGACTGGCTTACAGACACAGAGAGAGAGAGAGAGGCAGACAGACAGAGGCTGTTTGTGCAGCATGCTTGGCTGCTGAAGCAACTACCCCCATGAGCACGACTCCCATCAAGAACACACTGAGCACTAAAGCATGCATCACTAACATACAAGCTGTGAACTTCTGCATTTCCTTATAGATTATACAGAGCAGAACACAGACACATGGATACTGGAGTAGAAACAGAGCCTTCATGTAGGTAGTACCTCATAAGTGACCTTAAGGCTGGACTGCAGCAGGATGGGGGGGAATCGGGGGTGCACTTCTGCTGTCAGCCAGAGACGAAAGCTGGCTTTGGGCCGCAGCGCGTTTAGCTCCTGTGGAGGAAAATCAGCAGAAATATGACCAGAGTAGATACGAGGTGAACAGAAAAAGAATGGTGCTGAAATAATTTTACTAAAAAAAAAACTAGATCTGCTAACACACACCAGGTTTAATCTAAAGGAAATTAAAAATCTGACACAAAAAGTACAGTAGGATGGAAAAGTTTGCCCAGCCCTGTTATTCATGAATTTCTATTTTAAATTATTGGCTGTTTTGATTAAAAATTCCAGTTAAATATATCATAGGAGACACACACACAGTGATGTTAGAGAGGTGAAAAACAAAGTTCATAAGGTTTACAGAAAGTGTGCAATAATTGTTTAGACAAAATTATGCAGGTGCATACATTTAGGTGCTGTTGTCATTTTATTGATTCCAAAACCTTTAGAACTAATTACTGGAACTCTAAATTGGTTTGGTAAGCTCAGTGACCCTTGACCTCCATACACAGGTGAATCCAGTTAAATTTCCCTCCTCTTTAAATATTCTTTGAAGAGCAGCAACATGGAGTCTCACAACTGTCACATGACCTGAAAACAAAGATTGTTCACCATCCTGGGTTAGGGGAAGGATACCGAAAGCTGTCTCAGAGATTTCAGCTTCTGTTTCCACAGTTAGGTTAGTCAGTGATTAAATGAAGAGCACAGGCTCAGTTCAAGTTAAGGCTCCAAGTGGCAGACCAAGAAAACTCTCAGACAGACAGAAGTGAAGAAGGGTGAGAACAGTCAGAGTCAACCCACAGACCAGCTCAAAGACCTACAACATCATCTTGCTGCAGATGGAGTCTCAGCGCTTCTTCCAACTATTCAGCACACGTCACACAAGGAGATGCTGCATGTGAGAGTGATACAGAGGAGGTCTTTTCTCCTCCCACATCACAAACAAAGCAGGCTGAGATATGCTAAAGCACATTTGGACAAGCAGCTTCATCTTGGAATAAGGTGCTGTGGACTGATGAAACTAAAACAGTTATTTGGGCATAACAAGTAGCGTTATGCACGGAGGAACAAGAACACAGCATTCCAAGAAAAACACCTGCTACCTACAGTAAAGCATGGTGGTGGTTCATCATGCTGTGGGCTGTGTGGCCAGTGCACGGACTGGGAATCTTGTTCAAGTTGAGGAATGCATGGGTTCCCCTCAATATCAGCAGATTCTGGAGACCGATGTCCAGGAATCAGTGACACAGCTGAAGCTGCACCAGGGCTGGATCTTTCAACAAGACAACGACCCTAAACACTTCTCAGGATCTACTAAGGCCTTCATGCAGAGGAGCAAGTAGAACATTCTGGAACGACCATCTCAGTCCCCAGACCTGAATATTATTGAAAATCTGTGGTGTGAGTTAAAGAGAGCTGTCCATGCTCAGAAGCCATCAAACCTGAATGAACTAGAGATGTTTGTAAAGAATGGTCCAAAACACCTTCAACCAGAATCCAGACTCTCATTGGAAGCTATAGGAAGCATTTAGAGGCTGTTATTTTTGCAAAAGGAGGATTTACTAAATATTGAGATCATTTATTTGTTGTGGTGCCCATATTTATGCACCTGCCTAATTTTGTTTGAACAATTATTGCACACTTTCTGTAAATCCTATGAACTTTGTTTCACTTCTCACTGTGTGTGTCTCCTATTTTATATAACTGAACATTTTTATCGTAACAACCAAAAATTTATATGAGACAATCATGAAGATTAACAAGGCTGCCTGAACTCAACAAAAATTAACAAAAGAGGGAGAGCTAATTGTCTTTTCCTGTGGGTAAAAACTAATCATCCTGGTCTCTTCTCTCCCATTCATCCTTTCTCCCTAATTTTATTGCTATTTAAACGTAGAGCCTACCGGTATGTAAAAATCTCCTCATAATGACAAAACACTGACCCAACTTTTACATTTAGCACTGACCCGCCCCCAGCTTTTCTCTTTGCCTCTGTCTGTTTCTCAGTTTGCTGTGTTCCCTCACTCATGCCTCTTCCACTTTCCCTCTTCATCTTCCCCAATGTTACTCCAAGAGAGTTAAAAATAGCAGGCTGGCAGCTTCGGGTCGTCGTGTCATCAGATTGGGTACTCACACACAATGAACTGTAATCAACGTGTTTCTGCATCATTTGATGCCTAATTCATTCTTGTGGAAGCACATGTGATCAAAAATAATCAAGGAACACAAGAACTGACGACCCTCAAAGGAAACTCCTCAGTCTCTCTCTCGTGTGTGTGTGTGTGTGTGTGCGTGTGTGTGTGTGTGTGTGTGTGTGTGTTTGTTTATCAGAATTCAACTGGAAGCAGTGATTCTATTACTGAAAGATGCAGGGCAGAGAAGAGAAATGATGTAGAAAGGAGGATGAGAGTGGGACCAGAGCACAAATCCCCTCTGGTAATTGAAATTTAAACCCCAGTTTTGTTGCAACACATTAATGCAGTTCAGAGCGTAAATGCTGCACCGCTTTTGCACAAACCGATAAGCAGACACTCAAAACTCAACAGGCTCTGTGTCTGCATACAAGTGATAAGAATCATTAGACGTAAAAACTCCTGATAAAATCCTTACATCATATTATAAACATTGATAACAAGTGTAGAACAATAAATGCATCTGTAAAGACTTCCTATTAATCATCAAAAAATAAAAACAACAACACAGATCTCTTTAAATCTGTCAATATTATTTTTTATCACAGAATAATGCAGAGGGCATGAAAAATGGAAGAATGTGAGCGGACAGAGAAGAGATGACATCTGCACTGTCATCTTAAATTATGAACACACACCACTCTGACTCTGTCTCCTGACTGACCAACTGCTTTGGAGAAAGGAGGTGAACACGGCAGAGACAGATGGTTAAAAGAAACAGGAAATGTAGAAGATACGGTAGGACTGAGCAGATGGATATATGCTAGCTACTAAAATAAAGCCTCCTCTTGGTAGAGTTTCCACCTGCACACTGATTTTTTCCCCTCTACTCTCCTGGTTTTTCCATTCCTTCTCTCCCATGCTCCCTGCCTCCCTCGTTTGTTGCGTCGGCTTTTCATTTCAAGCTCGACTGCAGAGACCCCAGACTCATTGGTGGATGCGCAAAAGAGCGAGACAAAGAAACGGGGGTCGAAAGAGACAGAGAGACAGAGAGGGCGTTTTAGTCATCCAATGTGGGGAGAGAAATAAGATTGTCAAGAAAAGCTGGTAAGTAGGAATGTAGAAGTGAGGAGAATTGGATAAGAAGGGAAACACTGAGAGGAAAGGGTGGCGAGAAAGGGTGAATGTGATGAAGGAGTGTAAGAAAAAAGGGTGAATAGCAGGCCAGCTCCACAGCTTGCTAAAGTTAAGGGCACACACACACACACACACACACACTCAGACCAATTCTGACCAACAGTTTTGCCTCCCAGTGAGAAATGACCTACTCTTTTGGCACAATGCTAAACAGAGCCCCAGGAAAATAGCAGAAACACAAATTACATTCAAAGAAAGAGCAAGGCACAGAAAAATAAACGCCTCTCTGGTCCGCATGTACAACAGCAGACAGACGCTGCAAGCATTACAAGTGAAATACACAGAAATGTACTAGATTACAACATGTATGATCAGAGGGACATGGTTGGCGAAGACCACACAAACAGCACAGCCTCTAATAAACCCCAGCAGGTAGAGAGTGTTCGTGTGAGCAGGCAGAGGACAGAAGGTCATTACAGACATGATCATTCAGTCTGCTGAGTGTATGTGTGAGTGTGTGTAATACTACAGATAAGCACTAATGAGCAGGGATGAAACAAGGACTTACAGACACATGAGCAGTATTCAACATTCTCCTGGGTGACCTCCCGACCTAAACCCAAGTCCACCTAGAAACGAGGACCTAGAAACGTGTGTGGCTGCCTGGTCTGTGGTTTCATTCTCTGCTTCTTCAGTCCTTTGGTGCAACACTGAACCCTCATACATTACAGATGACTTTTTTCTATGACTCCCTATGACACGAGCCAGGAGGCCAGTTACGGCAGGCGTGGAATTATCTTATTAATCTTATTATAATAATTTGGCTTCTTCCACCAACAGCTCCAAATGCACATCTGGTTCTTAAATGTGTTGTCTACACCATAATACTGCATCAACAAAGCAACAAAAGTACACCAAACATATATTACTCACTTGGATACAAGCAGAGCACCTACTTTTTCCAGAAGAGGCAGCCAGGCAGTGACAAGGTGAAGATTCTTCAGGCAAAGCCAGTCTCCGTTTCGGGAACACTCTCTGAGTGTGGCTAAGGCCACATCAGCCTGGCCCTGACCCATGGAGATCTAGACAGAAAGAAACAGAGGGGGAGTAAGAATGGAGGGAGTAATGGAATCAGAGGGACGGGAGATTCAATTCCGCCTCCTAATTCAGTCCTAACTTCCAAAGTTAGGGAAGTAAAATCGTATTCAGCATTTTAAATCACCTCTACTCTCTGTGACAGAAACTAAAGAGAGTTTTCTCACTGGGGATCCCAAAGGGGGGAGACAGGTGTAACCTATAGGACGTAGTCTATGAGTAACAGCATTTATAACTGAGGATAACATAATGTTAATGAAAGCAATGATGTAATGCCCAATGCAATCAACACCTAGCGACACACAAGTTTAAAATAGATCAAAGAAATGTATCCTACATACAGATGAAACTCTAAAGTTTTGACTATGGTGCAAAACTTCTTTTACTTCAGTAATTCAACTCAGACTGAGAGACCATCTAAAGGGTCAGGAACCCTTTGGTGTTTTGGCTTCATTAGCTGATTAGAGTTGAGTTTAGAATATTCAACCTTTTCACAATATTCTAAGTGTCTGATATTTTGAATGTGGGGTTTTCATCAGCTGTAAGCTACAATCATCGCAGTTATAACAAATAAAAATGAAATATCTCGCTTGTGTTTTAGTTTCACCTTTTATGTTGAATTACTGGCATAAATGGGCTTTTACACCATATTATAATTTTTTGAATTTCACCTGTAACACATATCTATGATTTATTTGAATAAAGTCCTCGTAGTGTATCATCAAAACTCACCCCGGCCTTATAGATGGCGTATTAGGATTAGTATTTTGATGAAACCTGCTATATCTGGTTGTTTACATGTCTTCTGCCCTCAGGTGGAGGATCTATTGCTGGCAATGAGAATTTTAATTTCTAAATAGATTTTTGTAAAGTTAAAGTCCCACTAGTTGTTCCACACACTGATGTGTGTGACATTTGTTCTCTGCTTTTGACCCAACCCCGTGGGGGGGGCGGGCAGATGCAGACACAGCCGCACTCGGGAATCATTTGGTGGTTTAAGAAAATAGAGAGAGAAAGAAAATTATCTTTTATGTAGTGCCTCTCAAGATCATGAGGCGCTTCACAAAAACAAAGATTTCAAAATACAAAAAACTAATAAATATATATTTTTTATGATTAAAAAATGGTTAATATTAGAAGAAAATTATAATTAAAATATAAATTCATAATGAATTGTGATTAAAAAATGCAAGGAAAGGGAAAGAGGGAAATCAGTGGATCCTGGGAAAGGCAGAACAGAATAAGCAGAGGGCGGTGAAGGTCACACCAAAGCTGCCTGAACAGGTGAGTCTTCAGTTGTTTTTTAAAGGAGACCACAGAGTCCACTGATGTCAGGCTCAGGGGGAGAGAGTTCCAGAGTCTGGGGGCCACAGCAGCAAATGATCTGTCACCTTTGGTCTTTAGCCTGGTGCGCTGCACAACCAGTAGGCTTTGGTCACTGGACCTCAGGGACCTGCTGGGGGTGTAGGGACTAAGAAGATCACCAATGTAAGATGGTGCTTGTCCATGTAAGGCCCTATAGACCAGAACCAGGATCTTGAAATGAACCCTGAAGTTGACTGGCAGCCAGTGAAGCTGGAGGAGAAGCGGGGTGATGTGGGTGTGTTTGGAGGACTTGGTCAGAAGCCGAGCACAGGCATTCTGAACCACCTGTAGACGGTTCAGGGAGGTTCTGCTCAGACACGTGAAAAGCGAGTCTAAATCAGTGATTCCCAAACTTTTTGGACTCGTGGACTCCATGAATCGTTTTCTCATACCACAAGTACCCCCTTAGTCAAACGTGTTGATGATTCCCCAAAAGTATTATTAGGTCCTATTTTTCAAAGACCCAACCGGGACTTGAACCCCATCACCCAGACCCAGGATGGACTCTACCACTAGGCCACTGAGATAGCTGCAGTATCATTAACAGTAGTCCAGTTTTTATTTAAAAACATTATTATTATTATTATTATTATTATTATTAGTTCAGACTTTTTAAGGGTTAACTGTGAGGAAGTGATCAGCAGCCTTCCATCATCTTTACCTGGAAAGCTGAAGCTTATCTGCAGCCGTCACCGGGTGACAGGTGGGAGTCTCACTCACACACACACACACACACACACACACACACACACACACACACACACACACACACACACACACACACACACACACACACACACGTAGCCTGTACAGTTCTGCCACACTTCTATCACAGAACATTAATAAGACTTGCACCTCTAAAGCTTCCTTTTTGCACCTGGAAAGCACATTGAATTGCTTCTGTGTATGAAATGTGCTATAAAAATAAAGCTGCCTTGTCTTGAGATGCAAGCTCGATTAGTTAGTGGATGAGACTGTGCTAGGCTGTTAAAAACATTTTGTCCTTGTTAATCTCCAGTTTCTTCTGTATTTATATTATGCTGCTCATTACCTCGTGATAATTGTCCCTGCCAATGCTTTCTGCTGCTAGTTCTGCAAGCTCCTGGGATGGGTCTGCCCCCGGAGAGATGATGATTAACACTGGCTCCCACTCCATGGTCTCAGCGTAAAGACGACGCAAATTCAGCGGAGGGGGGGAGAGCTCTTTCATACCTGCGGAGAGGTGGAGAAAGGAATGAAATGAAACTGATGACATATCTGTGAAAACGCCTTCAAATCTGTCCCTTTACTCCTAAAGACTTGCTGCATGTGGCACTTATCTAAACAGATCAGTACAGAACGGGAGTGAAAATCACACTAAATTGATTTACTGCCTATATGCAATAAGATCCCAGGGGAATAAAACATACAGAAAACAGTAACAAACACAGAAAATAGAAAAATTATAATAAAAAAGTTACAAAGGAGCATTTGGTGCAATACAGATAGACAGGGAGGAAGAGCAGATGAGAGGACAAAAACAGAAAAAAAGCACTGATAGATCAAATGGAAAAGAGGAACATGCTATAGGAAAAGACAGAGGGAGACGCGTTGAGGGGGGGGGGGGGGGGGGGGGGGCAATGCACATTGAGTGGTAGGTTTGCAGCAGCAGAATTTAAACACATTGCTGAAGAATACCTTGTCAGCCCCCTGGTGTTCAAAGAGAACTGGCTTGTATGTATGTGTTTGTGTGTGTGTGTGTGTGTGTGTGTGTGTGTGTGTGTGTGTGTGTGTGTGTGTGTGTGTGTGTGTGTGTGTGTGTGTGAGAGAGAGAGAGAGAGAGACAGGAAGTGTGTGTGAGAGAGTCTACGTTGCTTCACTGAGACATCGGTGCTACTGCAATATACTGATTCTACACATCAGGCATGAGTCAGTGTGTGACACACAGGCCCACGCAGAACCAGTGGATGTGTTAGAAATCCCTGTGAGATGCTAGATGTGGATAATTGTCACACATTCTGAAGTCTTTGTCCACACACACACACACACACACACACACACACACACACACACACACACACACACACACACACACACACACACACACACACACACACATGCGCGTGTGTGCACACACATACACATACACACACACTTGCATACAATGCTGTTCTCTCAGGTTAGGGGGAGCGTTTGTTGTTCGATGCCAAATTCTAAGTGCTGAAGTATGCTGAACTACACATTTAAGGTAAAGTTAAGCAAAAATTCAGGGTGTGTGTGTGTGTGTGTGTTTGTTTATTGCTTTATTAAGTTGCACATACACATTGGCATGGTCAGATAATCAGTATTCATGCTGTGGACCAGCATCCTCTGCCTGAAAATAGCAAAGTTCACCTTGGCCTTTATAACGCACAATCAGGAACCAGAGAGGAGATGAGTATAAAAGATATTGGTACCATTCTCACTACAGCACAAACCCTGCTGTGAATGTTAAAACATCACCACGCTCAGCCTCAAAATACATTTATATGCAAACAGTATACTTCTTGAGCAGCGTTGAATGTGTGTGTTGCCACGCCTGTATGTGTGTGTGTGTGTGTGAGCAGTGCCCAGGCTTGGACTGCAGGGACTGAGCGAGATTAGTTGTAAGAGGATTACAGACCATGCCTCATTAGCATACTGATTTAGTGCCAAAAACACATACACACAAAATCAGCTCCTCATCCTTCTGTCTCATGTGCTTTTTCATTCACATTCACCCATTTCATGTATTGTACACACACTTGGTGAATCAGTTCACAGCCACTGAAGGAGTGCGAGGACTACAGCTATATGACAGCGTGTTCTATTACAATTTGCCCACAGACAAACAAGGAAAGAGGCAACGAAGCTTTCATGGAAAAAGCTGACACATTGAATAATGTAAAAAGGAGACAACAAAAACCAATAGAGTACAGAAAGACACTAAACGTGTAGTGCTCATAGATATTCTTAGTCAAAACATGCTGTGTGCCACTCACAAAAGCTGGAGGTACATTCAAAACTGGTTCATTTCAGCTGCTGGGTATTTGACAAACACCTTTTTTGCAACCAGCTTGTCCTTCACTCTGAAGGGCATGTTTACGTCTCATAGGGAAAGGTTATTTTATAGAAACTGAACCTAAACGACATAAGATGTTAATTCTCGTTGTGTGTTGGTTTAGATGTTTGAGGAGTCTGGTTGGTGGGACACTCTTATGTAACTTTTACATATTCGGTAAGGGTGATTAAGTTGACCACACTTAAAGCCATATTAAAGAGTTTTCCTCCTTTCAGGAACAACTTTGTGAAACATCAACGATGGTCCAAGTACTGTTCCAATCCTAAGTACATATCATGGCAAGTGTGCTTGTGTTGTTTGCCTTTGGTTGTTTTCTTCATTTTTATATATTATTACATATTTTTCATTTCAGCAAACAAAGACACCGGCAGCTAAGTTGGAACAGGAAGACTCCTCAGAGGAAGATGAAACAGCTGTCATGTTCTGTGTCCCTTTGTTCCCCAGCCCCTCCAGTTCCCACTCCAGGATCTCTTTTTGTGTTTCATAGCGCCCTCATGTGTCCTTTGTCTGCATCTCATTTATGTGTCTCCTGTGTTCCTTTAAGGTTGGTTTATGCTTGACGCGTCCGCGAGGTCCGCGAGGTCCGCACGGCTCCGCGCGGAAAAATTGCGTCATTTTGCGTCATTTTAACCACCACGCCCCTCCACCGCGCCTCCGCACGGCCCAGAATTTCCGCAACGCGCACCTCGGAAAATTTCTAACCACGCGGATGGACGGACGCGGAAAAACATGGCGGACCGGCAAGAACTAGTACGGCAGAGGTTCGTAAATACAGACATTTGTATGATTCAGCTCTCAAAGATCACCGTGATCAACATGTTGTTAATAATTCTTGGAGAGAAATAGCTCGCACTTTCGGAAAAGACGAGAACGCTGTTAAAAATGCTGGAATGCCATGTTGTAAACAGTAATTTCTACTTCTACTATGGTGTAGTGTTGGATGCATGCCGTAGAGCTCCATGCTGCCCCGTTCAGTTTGGGAGAATATTGGCTCACCGCAGAGACGAGCCGCATGAACCATAAACACTGCAAGTTGTGAAGCACGTTCCATCCGCGAGCCGCATCACTGTGCGGAAAGTGAATGCGTCAAGCATAAACCAAGCTTTAGTCTTTTCCAGTCACCCCTCTGCAGCCAGTCATCCCTCTGCAGTGTTTATAGTTTCAGCTTTTCATTTTTATTAGTCTCTTTAATATGTTTTGTCCCACCGGTTTTTGTAGTTCTCCTTCCCTTTAGAATTTTAGTTATATGGTTGCTTTTCTGTTTTTAGGTTCACTCTTAAGTCATGTTAGTTTCTTCCCTGATTAGTCATTGCTTTCACCTGGTCCTCCCCCCACACTCCACACACCTGCAGCTCATCTGCCTCCCATTATGCCCCAGTGTATTTAAGCCCTGTCTTGTCCCTGTGTCTTGTCAGTCCATTGTTGCTGTTTGTGGTAATTCTGTCAGTCTCTTGTTCCTAGTCTCTAGTGTTTCTCGTGGCTCAGTTGGATCTCTAGTTTATTTTGGATTTTGGACATTTTTGGACTTTGGCTCCCTGCCCCTGGAATTATTCTTCGTTTCATCCTTCAAAATTAAAGGATTTTACTTTACATCATCTCCTGCCTCGTGTCATCCTGGGTTTCTGCACTTTGGGTTCTAACATCCCTCCAAAACGTGACAGCACCAGGTACAAAGGTGTGTATGTATTTACATGCACCTCATTCTTGATAAGATATCAAGGTGGAAAATATGATTTTTCTAATATTTCTGTCTTGCATTTAAAATATAATACAAACTGAAACAACCCAGACTTCCAGCCCTTCAGGAACTTTTTTGGGAGAATAGAAGCAGTTCCTGCAATCTCCACGACAGACCAGGTTCAGGCGGAGCTGAGAGCGTACAGGAGTCGTCCTTCACTGTTGTTGAGAGTTAACCCTGCTGAGTGGTGGTGTAAAATGAAGACAAGGTTGCCATTACTGACCATTACTCTACAGTTTGGCCAAAATGTACCTCTGCACTCAAGTATCCTCCAAACCAGCTGAGCGCACATTTTCAACTGCTGAGGACACAATCAGTCAAGAAAACACCTGTCCGCTGCCAGAAAAATCAGACAAGCTAATTTTTCTGATTTAAAACAGCTAGAACTCATGTTCACATGGTGTACTAAGTTCTTTTTACCTTATTTTTGCCTCTTATTTACAGCGGGTAAAAAACGTTTTTGACACATCAGCATTTCCATCAAAAAGGGGTTTTCTAAGTGGGCTATTCCAACAAAATTTCCACCACATCAATACCAACTTATGTATTTAATTCATGCAAAGACATCGAAACATTTAGTCCATAAACTGAGTTATGTGCGATAAAAGTGAAAAGATAGGGAAAAGGTATTAAAAACATAAAAATAACAAGGTGCAAAATGGCATAAAAAGCTGGGAGATCACCTGTAATCTGTCAGTATTGAGAGAGAAACCCGCCCCCTATCAGTACTAATTGATATCACCTGCTTCAGTCCTAATTGATGGCCTAAAAAGGCTTCTCATCACCCAGAAGGCACACAGGAAATACTTCATTATGGGTCAAAGCAAAGAATTCTCCCAAAACAGTTGTAATCTTACCGTTGAAAAGCATTCTGATGGAAAGGTTACAGGAGCATTTCTAGCATGCTGAATGTTCCTGTGAGCACTGTGGAATCCTGCAGATCCCAGGAAATACATCAGACATCTCAGTCCAGACAAGTGTTGTTCTAGGAACAGCTAAGATACTGCACAGAACCCTCAAGAACCCTGGTAGAGAACCCAAGATTGGAAGGATGAGACCACCCGTAGACGGTGAGATGGCTTCCGGCTCTTGGAGGGTGCAGAAGCTTTTTTCCTCCTGTCCTCCATATCTTATCCTCAAGGCCCTTTGTCTGTCTCTGTGTGCTGGGTGCACGGCTGCTTCTGCATTTTTTCTGGAGACTGGAAACTGAAATCACTAAAATGGACCTCGTCAGTTGGTCACTTAACGCGATCAACAAAATGTTTTCAACGATGAGAACGGGAGAAGAGGCTCTTGGATGCCCCTCTGGGACAGACCCAGTTAGACACATCATGGACTCCTGGAAACAGTGGGACTTGATTTGTTTATCTCAGCTGTCTGTGGAGGACTCTGAAG